TGTTTTGGCCAATTTCTTTCTTTTGGAATGGGAGCATTTACCCACTGCCTGTACCCTCCATTGTATCCTGGAAGTAATTAATTTGTTTTTGATCTACAGGCGCATAGGCAGAAGGAACTTGCCTTGTCTCAGATGAGACTTTGGATTTGGACTTTTGCGTTAATGCTGGAATGAGTTAAGACTTTGGGGGATTGTTGGGAAAGCATCATTGGTTTTGAAATGTGAGAAAGACATGAGATTTGGGAGGGGCCAGGGATGGAATTATATGGTTTGGCTCTGTGTGCTTACCCAAATCTCATGTTGATTGTAATAACTAAGTTGGGGAAGGGATCTGGTGGGACGTGATTGAATCATGAGGGCAGATTTCTCCCTTTCTATTCTTGTGATAGTGGATAAGTTCTCATGAGATCTGGTTGTTTAAAAGTGTGTGGCACTCTCCTCTTCTGTCTCTCTCCTGCTGGCCTTGTGTAGATATGATTGCTTTCCCTTTGCCTTCTGCCATGATTTTAAGTTTCCTGAGGCCTCCCTGGCCATGCTTCCTGTACAGCCTGTGGAACCATGAGGCAATTAAGCCTCTTTTCTTTATAAATTACCCAGTCCCAGGTAGTTCTTTGCAGCAGTGTGAGAATGGACTAATAAGAGGGATTTGTCACTTCCTGGCTTTTCCTTAAGTGAGGGGTGCCCATATATAGAAGCCCTCTTCACAGGCATAGACCTCCGGGTTCTTATCACAGACCTGCTTCTCCTGGAAGGCCCCTCCTGACTATCAGAGAAGACCCCTGAGTGGCAGAAGTCCCAGACGTGGTATAGTGGGTGGAGGTTGCTTCTTTACCTCCTTGCCCACCACCCACAATCATCTTCTTCCCCTGTGCTGATCAGGACTGGGGCCCCAGGGTTTCTTCGTTAGTGACCTGGCTCCTTTTTTGGTTCACACTGAACTGGGACATCCCTAGGGGCAAGGGCTCTCTCCCTTATCAGGTAGGGCTCACCATGTGATCAGCCCAGGAGCTTTCTGTCACCCTGGTCCCTCCCGGACATCAAGAAGAAGAAAGGCCATTTGACAAAGCATTCTGTCCCCCGGAAGCAGGGCAGTGGCCACAAGACTCAATTCCTGACCATTCAGCAGGCCAGACAGCCCAGGTGCCAGGAATGGTGCCAGCATAGGGCTTGGGTCTGGTGCCCCCTGGGCTGGAGCTCTACCTCCAGTCTGGTTTTCCTTGAGGATAGGGAGGAGCCCTAAGCATAACAACGAGGTCATTTCCCAGGACCCAAGTCCCCTTCCCAGGGTTGGCCTGCCCCATCCTGCCCCTTGGGGATTTGGCAGTTGCCACACTTCTTTGCATGGCCAAGCAGAGACAGAATTAGCTCTCCACTCTCACTCTCAAGGCTCTCTGAGAGCCAAACCATCTGGGAGAGGGACCAGAATGGGGCCTTCTGGGATTCTGCTCAGCACTTTCTTTTGGTTCCTCTGGGAAGAGATCCAGAAAGACTGAAAGCTCCTGGCTAAGAGGGAGGGGATGGGGTGGGACCAGGCCCTGCCCTGTTGTCAGAAGCCTCTGGGGCTCTGGGAAGCTACCCGACTCTGCCAAGACAGTGACTGGTTCTCAGTGCACTGGGGAGGACGGGGCTTGCAACCCCCGGGGTCCAATCAGACTTGAGGGATCCTTGCTGCATTCCTGGCCTGCAGGTCAAATGCAATTTCAGGGAAAACTCAGGAGTCAAATCCTCTCCAAAAGGCTGGGCTGGGGCCACACCATGAGGACACAAATCTGTCTGCAGCTCAAGGATGGATAGAAAAATCAGGACTCAGCAGACAAAACTCCCACTTCATCCTCCTCGGTTATCCCTGCCCGCTGAGATGTGCTCATCCCCAATCTGTTTCCTGGTAGAGCCAGTGAGAGGCATCTGCTCTCACTTCGACACCTAAGGTGGGGTGATAGGTGGGTGTGGACATCCCAGGAGGATCCCTTTAGCACTCCACCCCCCCCCCCCACTTTGGTAACATGTCCTCAAGGACTATGAGGACACGGTCCTTGGACAAGGTGGGGTCCTGGCTGGGGGCCTTGTCATTTGCTGTCACCTGGTGCTGCAGTCAGCAAGGGGACTTGGGGGTCAGGGAGAACTGGGTTCAAACTCTAGTTCTAGATCCCTTTAGCCCAGGAATTCCAGGCTGCAGTGAGCTATGACTGTACCATTGCACTCCAGCCTGGACAATAGAGCAAGACCCTATCTCTAAGAAAAAAAAAAATTCTGGCCACACTGCTGACAGGTCCACTAACCTGAGAAGGGTCTTCCCTGCTGAATCTGTCTTCTCACTTAAGAAATGGGTTTCATAATACCACCTTCCCAAAGGTTAGTGTGGGCCGGGTGCAGTGGCTCACACCTGTACCCCCAGCTTTCCTTTCTTGAAGCCATTCTAAAGCCAAGGCAGAAGGATTGCTTGAGCCAGGAATTCTGGACTAGCCTGGGAAATGTAGCGAGACCCTGTCTTTACAAAAAGTGAGTAAGTGAGCCAGGTGTGGTGGTGCACGCCTGTAGTCTCAGCTACTCAGGAGGCTGAGGTGGGAGGATTGCTTGAGCCTGAGAGGTGGAGGCTGCAGTGGCCATGATCACGTCACTGCACTCTGGCCTGGGCCACAAAGTGAGATCCTAAAAAAGTTTAATGTGGGGGAACCCTGACAGTTGCCTCTTTATTTTTTGAGACAGAGTCTCACTCTGTCACCCAGGCTGGAGTGCAGTGGCATGATCAGTTCACTGCAACCTCCACCTCTTGAGTTCAAGTGATTCTCCTGCCTCAGCCTCCCAAGTAACTGGGATTACAGGCAAGCACCACCAAGCCTGGCTAATTTTTTTTGTGTGTGTGTGTGTGTATATATATATATATAATTTTTTTTTTTTTTTTTGTAGAGATGGGCTTTCACCATGTTGGCCAGGTTGGTCTTGAACTCCTGACCTCAGGTGATCCACCCACCTCAGCCTCCCAAAATGCTGGGATTACAGGCATGAGCCACCGTGCCCAGCTGACACTTGCCTCTTTAGGGCTCTGCTTAGCACCTTCTGTGCCCTCCCAAAAGTCACTATGTTCTTGAGCGTGCAATTGGAAGCCATGCATGGCTTCTCTATGTCCTCAACCTACATTCTGATTTTGCTCATGACGTCTTCTTCCCTGGCGTGGCAGCCTGCTTCCGAACTAGCAACCGCTCCTCCACACGCGATTGTATTTCCTGCTATGTTAATAGCAGGCTCGCTCCAGCCCAAAAGACGGAGGTTGCAGTGAGCTGCAAACTTTGAGCAGAAGTGAGTGTTGTTTCCAGGCAGAAACATCAAGAGCCAGCGCGCAGTTCAACAGGTATGTCTACCCTGTGCCACAAGGCATCCTCCCAGACAGAGGCCCCTGGGCAGCTTGAGTTTCAGAGCGAAGATGACATGGAGCAGACCTGTAGTCATTCTTGAAGGACAAGTAGCAACCATAAGGCAGAAACCTTCACTGTTGGATGCCACTGCGATTTGGGCGTCACATCCTGGCTGCTCCACATCGAAGATGTTGGAAGTCTCCAGAGCAGTCTCAAAGTTGTGTGTGTGTGTGTGTGTGTTTTGGTCTTCAGCGGCTGCCAAGTGGTATGGATAATGAAGAGTTGAAATGTTCTGCCTGGGGACTGGCCCCCATTCTAGGTACTCAATCCAGAGTGGCTACAGGCCAGGCGTGGTAGCTCACACCAGTAATCCCAGAACTTTGAGAGGCAGAGGGAGGAGGATTGCTTGAGCCTAGGTGTTCAAGACCAGCCTGGACAACATAGCATGATCCCTGTCCCTATAAATAATAAGAATAATAAACAGTTGGGCTTGGTGGTGTGCACCTGCAGCCCCAGCTACTCTGGAGGCTGAGGTGGGAGGACTGTTTGAGGTTGGGAGGTTGAGGCTGCAGTGAGCTGTGATTGTGCCACTCCACTACACACTCCAGCCTGGGCAACAGAGCGAGAGCCCATGTCAGAAAAAAAACAAAAACAAAAAAAAACAAAAAAAAACAGGCATTGATATAATCATGACTTGGCTTGGCATTTCTGCACGTAGACCAGACTGATCACCTGAGCTGTATCTAATATCCTCTAAGCTGGAAGGGTTCGGCCTGAGGTTTGCATGTAGGTTAAGACTATGTGACTCTTGGGGCAGCTCCTGGGTTCGGTCAGAAGACCATGACCTCCTTCATCTCCCGGGAACCTTGACAGCTCCCCTCCCGCCACCCTGCCCCCCACCTGCAAGAGCCACTTGATATGAAATGATGCAGCCCACTCTCTCCCACCCGCCCAAGGCGAGGTTTACTAAGCTTGTGGCAGCAGGGAGCGCACACACCAGGGGAAGCAGGGGGCATCGCTGCCAGGTCTTCTTGGTCATGACTTTGCCCCATGGATGGAGCTTGTGTCAATCTCCTCTGCCACTCCAGACCTCTCCCTGTCTGTCTTTGTGATCAAATGGGACTGGGTCTGTAGCACCCTGTGGCACTGGCCTTATGGCGAGTTCTCGCTGTGTTTCTGGTGATGTGTGATCCTTTCCCAAGCAAACTACCGGCCTCTTGTACTCTCTCAGCAACGTTCCCCTCTGCACCAAGCACACCCTAGGTAGACAGTGGGTGCTCCGTAAAGACTGGTTCTGCTTTCCTGAGTTGGTGGCCTGGGGGCTGGTGGTGGCATGGCAGGACAGAGGGCATCTCTAGCTGTGGCTGGTTCTCTGCAGACTGGTTCATAAAGGTCATACCAGGGAGATAGAGGGGCCTTAACCCATGGCTACTAGGAGGAGCCTGGCAGAGCCGGCAAGGAACCCTGTACCTCCCTCTCTCTGCCTCTAGGCCTGGGCTCTACTTACTTTCCTGATTTCTGCCCCCTTCTCTCTGCCCTTGGCAGCTGGGGACCCCGAACAGACCAGTTCTCTCAAAGGATGGAGTTTTGTGGTTGGGACTAGCTCCCTCCCAACTGATCACCAAAGATTTGAACAAAGAAAACTCCCAAAAGCCATCTCTCTTTATTTTTCATTCCTGCCGTTCAACCAGTTTGCACAAGCCGAGGATGAGTGGGTTTTGGAACAGGAGGCAGAGCATCTGGGGACAGACCCTCCTGGAAATGGTCTATGCACACTGCTGAGGCTGGTTAGACTTGAGAAGCAATTGAACAATAAACTCTACAGAACTGGAAATGTACAAAAGTGTCGTGGTGGCTGCTGGCTGGTTCCCTGCCTCCCCGTGGGGGTCAGTTACACCCATCAGTCCTGTGCAAAGGTCCTGGGACTGGCCTGGGGACAGCTGGCTTCTTTGCTGGGGACAGGAGCTGTCCTGCTCACCCAGCAGAAGTGTGCCAATGGACAGGCGCTTGGGTGTGTGCCCAGGTGCCGCGGCCCCCGAACTCCGTGGTTCCTCGAGCGTGTCTTCATCCTGCCTCTATGTCCGCCCTTTGAAAGTGTTCATGCAGGTGTAGGTTCCTGAGAATTTGTGGATCTCCTCGAGTGCAGCCTGTGGGAGTATGCTGGGGGAGTGGGAGGAAGAAAAGAAGATGTCAGCACAGTGGGATCCAGGGGCTGGGTCGCTGGCGGCCGTGTGACACGGGGCAGCAAAGGGCTGTTTCTGAGAAGTGCTCCCCACCCCTCCAAGCCACTCACCAGATTCTCCCCAAACTCCCACCCTCTCCAGGGGAAGAGCTTTCACATCAGTGGATAAGCAGCTGTTAAAAAGGCAGGGGAGAGCCGGGCGCGGTGGCTCAAGCCTGTAATCCCAGCACTTTGGGAGGCCGAGGCGGGTGGATCATGAGGTCAAGAGATCGAGACCATCCTGGTCAACATGGTGAAACCCCGTCTCTAGTAAAAATACAAAAAATTAGCCGAGTATGGTGGCACGTGCCTGTAATCCCAGCTACTCAGGAGGCTGAGGCAGTAGAATTGCCTGAACCCAGGAGGCGGAGGTTGCGGTGAGCTGAGATCGTGCCACTGCACTCCAGCCTGGGTAACAAGAGCGAAACTCCGTCTCAAAAAAAAAAAAAGGGGGAGGGGGGTACGGGGAGACTGGGCACAGTGGCTCATGTCTATAATCCAAGCACTTTGGGAGGCTGAGGTAGGTGGATCGCTTGAGCCCAGGAATTCAAGACCAGCCTGGGCAACATGGTGAAACCCCGTCTCTACAAAAAAATATAAAAATTAGCCAGGCATGGTGGCATGTGCCTATAGTCCTAGCTACTGGGGAGGCTGAGATTCGAGGATGGCTTGAACCCAAGAGGCAGAGGTTGCAGCGAGCTGAGATCACACCTCCGCATTCCAGCCTGGGTGACAGAGCCAGATCCTGTCTCGAAAATTGTTTTTAACAAAGGCCAGATGTGGTGGCTCACGCCTGTAATCCCAGCACTTTGGGAGGCCAAGGTGAGTGGATCACCTCAGGAGTTCGAGACCAGCCTAGCCAACATGGTGAAACTCGATCTACTAAAATACAAAAATTAGCCGGGAATGGTGGTGGGCACCTGTAATCCCAGCTACTCAGGAGGCTGAGGCAGGAGAATTGCTTGACTTGGGAGGTGGAGGATACAGGGAGCCGAGATCACGCCATTGCATTCCAGCCGGGGCGACAAGAGTGAAACTCTGTCTCGGGGAAAAAAAAAAATTCTTTTTAAAATATATTTTTTAAAAAGGCAGAGGGTTGGTGGTCAGAGCAAAAATTTTTTTAATTTAAATTTTTAATTTTTTTCCTAGATCCTGAAACAGAGCTCTTTAAAAAAAAATTTTTTTTGTGGGTACATAGTAGGTATCTATATTTATGGGGTACATGAAATACTTTGATAAAGGCATGCAAATGTATAATAATCACATCAGGGTAAATGGAGTATCCATCACCTCAAGCATTTATCTGTCATGTTACAAACAATCTAATTATACTCTTTTAGTTATTTCTTTTTCTTTCTTTTTTTTTTGAGACAGGTCACCCAGGCTGAAATGCAATGGTGTGATCTTGGCTCACTGCAGCCTGTGCCTCCTGGGTTCAAGTGATTCTCCTGCCTCAGCTTCCCAAGTAGCTGGGATTACAGGCACCTGTCACCATGCCTGGCTAATTTTTATATTTTTAGTAGAGATGGGGTTTCACCATGTTGCCCAGGCTGGTCTTGAACTCCTGACCTCGGGTGATCTGCCTGCTCCGGCCTCCCAAAGTGCTGGCATTACAGGTATAGCCACCGTGCCTTAGTTATTTTTAAATGCACGGTTAGATTAATATTAACTATAGTCACCTGTTGTGGTATCAAAGATTTGTTCTTATTCAGTATATTTTTTGTACCCATTAAAAAAATGAGAGTTAGATGCCACTAAGTAGGTGGCAATGCCTTAACCTGTGTGTGTTCCTTGTCAGGGGTAGTGCTGACCTTCTGTCCCTTCATACCACACACACTTTCAAAACCAAGCTCTTGGCCAGGCACAGTGGCTCTTTGGGAGGCTGAGATGGGTGGATCATAAGGTCAGGAGTTCCAGACCAGCCTGGCCAATATGGTGAAACCCCATCTCTACTAAAAACACAAAACCAAGCTCTTAGCATCTTGGTGCTCACAGGCAGCTCAGAGATCCATCGATCCCAACGGCCACTGATTCCACAAAGGTTACAGTGTGGATCTGAGGAATTAGGTACGATTTGGGTGTCACATCCTCCAGAGAAATGTCCTGGGCTCACCCTGAAGCGTCTCCTTGTGGAACCCAGAGTCCTGGCACTTCCCCAGCAAGCCCTGGTGTAGTCCTCGCCTATTTACTTGTCAAGCCTGTGGGGGCCTTCATGGCAGGTAGTTCATTTCTGATCCCTAGCCCCGTGCATGGGCCGGCACAGAGAGGGCCCTATGTTGTCTGGTGAATCAAACTGAAGGCCCACTCTAAGTATAAGATGAAAAAGGTTGACTTCTAGCTGGAACAATCTGGAAGGCTTCCTGGGGGTGGTGAGGAGGGACACAGTTTGGGGAATGGGGAGGGGGTGGCTCCTGCTTCCTGTCGAAAAGCAGTTTAGGTTGGAAAATGAAGGCTGAGGACGACTGTGGAGAGTGCTGAGATGTTCTAGACCAACTTTTCTCTAGAAAGTTCTGGAAGGCTGCCATGAAGCCCCCTTGAGGCGGAGGGTGGCAGCCTGGCCTCAGTGAGGACCTGGGCCCCTGATCAACTAGGGGCTTCTAGAGGCGTCCGAGGAGCGTCTCAGACCCGAGGTCAGGATGGACTGAGGGAGGCCGGGGCGTGGCCTGGATGCCTCTGGGCACCCCCCAATCCCTGGGCTGCTGAAAGGGCTTTGAGTTTGGGGAGGATGGCGATCGGCCTTTCCCCTCGGTTTCCAGGTGTCTGTGCCATGTGTGTTGGGGCTGCCCCTCAGCTGGGGCTCACCGTGTCCTGGCAGCCAGGGCAGAAGCTGGCTTTCCTGGGCGTGCGTGTCGCACGGAAGCAGGAGCCAGCCTGGCACTTGAGGCCTTCCCTTCCTGAAAAGGCCTTCCAGGTCAGAGGGGCTCAGTCAGGTGGGGGGCGGCAGCCGGAGCCCCAGGGGAGCCAAGAACCCATGGTCACTTGTGGCTCCAGGGATGAGGCTCTCCTGCTGTACTAAGAGGCCTGAGAAAACTGAGTGTGGGACTGGGATGGGAAGGGTTTGCTGCACAAAGTCTGGAAAGTTCTAGGGGAATAGGATGCCAGGCAAATTCTGGAGGAGGATTTGCTCCTTTATGAAGCCTACCTCCACCAAGTGCTCTGCCCTGCTGCGTCCCACCTGACTGGCACCATGACGCTTCTGTGAATTCTGAGCCCTTGGCATCGAGATCCCGTGTTTCCTGTAACAGTAAACTCCCTGAGGGCAGGGCCTATGTCCAGTAGGCTCTAGAACAGTGGTTCTCCAAGTGAGGTCCAGGAACCCTTGGGGGTACCCGGAATCTCTTCAGGGGTCTCTGAGGTCAAATTGTTTTGATAATAATCCTAAGATGTTATTTGCCTTTTTCACTTTCGTTCTCAGTGAATGGTAGAATTTTCTGGAGGCTATGTGACACAAGCTATCACAACGAACTGAAATCAGAAGCACATGTAAGAATCCAGTTGTCCTCGATTAGACCAAACATTTTTACATTTGCAAAAATGTAAAACAATGCCACTCCTGACTACATTTCTTTTGTTTTAGAATATATAACTAGTTGCCATAAAACATATTTATATTAATGTAGTGGGTTTGTCATGGCTATTTATAAACGAATAAATATTATAAATAAATGTATACATCTTATAACATTTTTATGGCTTTTAATTTCTTTCTTTCTTTCTTTCTTTCTTTCTTTCTTTTTTTTTTTTAGATGTTGTTTTGTCCCTGTTGCCCAGGCTGGAGTGCAATGGGGCGATCTCGGCTCACTGCAACCTCCGCCTCCTGGGTTCAAGCGATTCTCCTTTCTCAGCCTCCCAAGTAGCTGGGATTACAGGTGTGTGCCACCATGCTCGGCTAATTTTTTTTTGTATTTTTAGTAGAGACAGGGTTTCACCGTGTTAGCCAGGATGGTCTCCCTGCTGACTCCATGATCTGCCCTCCTCGGCCTCCCAAAGTGCCGGGATTACAGGCATGAGCCACCACGCCTGGCAGCTTCTAATACAGGTTACAATAATTGCAGATACCCACAATTTCTAATACAGTAAATAGTGAAGATACAACTCACGTTGACAGAAGCTCTTTGGGTTCCTCCATACTTTTTTTTTTTTTTTTTTTTTTTGAGACAGAGTCTCACTCCGTTACGAGGCGCCAGGCTGGAGTGCAATGGCATGACTTTGGCTCACTGCAATCTCCACGTCCCAGGTTCAAGCAATTCTCCTGCCTCAGCCTCCCGAGTAGCTGGGATTACAGGCGTGCACCACCACGCTCAGCTAATTTTTTTGTATTTTTAGTAGAGACGGGGTTTCACCATGTTGACCAGGATGGTTTCGATCTCTTGACCTCGTGATCCACCCGCCTCGGCCTCCCAAAGTGCTGGGATTACAGGTGTGAGCCAGGGCGTCCGGCTCCTCCACACTTTTTAAAACTCACAGGGGCCCTGTGACTAACAGGTCTGAGAGCTGCTGCCGCACGTGAGCACAGCACATCAACAGCAGATGTGCCGCCGCAGACATGACTCATCGATCACATGCGCACTTTCCCCTGACCCAGAGCATCCTCTCCCAGCCCCATACCTTTTCAAGATAATGAGGGCATGCATCGTCCACGGGAGGAGGAGGAGGGCCTGGTTGAGCTGCACGGCTTCCACTGTCCTCCGGGCCACCGTCTCCGGTTTCAGTGGGGGAAAGAGGTTGGGAAACCTGAACACGGGAAGAGACACAGTGGGTTTCTCCTGGAGAGGCATGTGCTTATCTGGAAGCCTCTATGAGGCTGACATGTCTGGGGCACCCTTTGACCTTTCCTATCTGAGAGACCCGAGGCCTGCTTGGAATACTCCCTCTACCCCACACTCATCAGGAGAGCCACATTCCCTCACTCCTCCAGGTGCCCAGAGGTCTCTTCTTGAGTCAAGGATTTCTAGCCCACCTACTGGGAACCCATTCTCCCAAGCCCACCAAGGGTTCTCAGCACCCCAGGGCTTGGCCTCTCCATGGCCCTGTGCAATCCGGGCCCTGCCTGTCCTTCTGATTCCTCTTCCCTACACTCTGCTCCTTCAGGACTGGTCTTTCTCTGTTCTTTTTTTTTTTTTTTTTTTTTGAGATGGAGTCTCACTCTGTCACCCAGGCTGGAGTACAGTGGTGCCATCTCAGGTCACTGCAACCTCCATCTCCCGGGTTCAAGCGATTCTCCTGCCTCAGCCTCCTGAGTAGCTGGGATTACAGGCATATACCACCATGCCTGGCTAATTTTGTATTTTTTGTAGAGACGGGGTTTCACCATGTTGGTCAGGCTGGTCTTGAACTCCTGACCTTGTGATTCACCCGCCTTGGCCTCCCAAAGTGCTGGGATTACACATGTGAGCCACCACCCATCTCTATTCTTGTCACATCACACTCTTGGGTCAGGGCTTTTCGACAGCTCTCGATGGTCTGGCTTTCTCCTCCCAGCTCCTCCTCTGGGAGGCATCTCAGGCCAGTCCACCCAGAGTGACCTCTGCTTTCGTCCCCTGCTAATTTCCTTGATCACGTTCACCCCGCCTAGGAAGGCCTTGATTATTGGGTTGTTTTCTTGTCAGTGGCCTGTCTCCCCCATCAGACTACGAGTTCCCTGAGGGTGAAGGCCTGGTTGGTCCTGCTCCCTGTTGCATCTCCAGCATCTAGCACAGCATCTGATACATAGTAGGTGCTCAATAAATACCTCACAGACTGAACACACTGACGACTTGCTGCTTTCCAAATGTGTCCTGCTCATTTTGTCTGGAGGCAGGGGCTCCGCTAGCAACGTCTTTGGCTCAGTTTGCTGGTTCACTAACTCATTGATTGACTCATTCATTCATTCAAACATCTGCATAGTGTTTTCCATGAGATTTTAAAATGAATGAATGAATGAATGATTGCGTAAGCAAACATCAGGGGCTTCTCATGACTCTTTAGAAGCATGTGACCCTAGACCCAAACCATGATGATGTTCCCTCAGTGGCAGATTCAGGCGCAGATTATCCTCCCAATTTACAGATAAGGAAACTGAGGCTCTATTGAGTCAGAGGGACAGTCCAATGCTCTGTCCCCTTTGCTCACTGTTCTTTCTGCCCCTTCTGGGTCTATAGGTGCAGGGCTTATGTTGCTGGCTCTGACCCAATCCCACAAGGAGCTTGTGATCCACTGTGGCACCAGGAAGATTAAGGTGATGAATCACCCAGGTTTGATGTCATTCCTGAGCAACAGGGAGCCCCTGGACTCCCAGCGTGGTCTTGGCCTCAAAGGACACATGGATCTCACCCCCTGCCCTGTAATTCCTTTGTCATCATGATGGTGATTCTTTTTTTTTTTTTTTTTTACTTTTGAGTCCTGGGTCTCACTTCGTTGCCCAGGCTGGCGTGCAGTGACATGGTCACAGCTCACTGCAGCCTCGACCTCCCTGGGCTCAAGTGATCTTCCCACCTCAGCCATCCGAGTAGCTGGGACTACAGGTGCACACACCATGCCTAGCTAATTTATATCTGTTTTGTAGGGCCGGGTTTTGTCATGTTGCCCAAGTTGGCAACTCCTGGGCTGAAGTGATTCACCTGCCTCAGCCTCTCAAAGCACTGGAATTACTGGTGTGAACCTGGCTACTGCGCCTGGCCCTGATGGTGATTCGGAGAGGCCCAGAGCCCTGTGGTCAGGAGGAGCTGGCCTCTGTGGTTCTGCAGAGATAAGTGTGCTGAGACAGCTCACTGGTACTGGAGTCCTGCAGGTCTCACGGGCAGTCTGGATTGTCTGGCTTCCACCTGTGGCCTGTCCGGTTCTTGGGAAAGGGAAGACAGGATGGACAGACCAAAGTCCATGAGATTGAGGGAGATCCTTCTTGGTAAGACCCCCGCCAGGGAAGTTGACAGAGGAGGCCTCGAGTACGTCTACGCATAGGATTTTCTCCTTCCTCTCCACGCGGAACTGGCAGAGCTATTAACTCCCATGGAAGCAGTGCAAATTCCTGGAAGAAGCATGCTCAGTTAGCCAGTTTCGAGCTGTGCGAACCTGGACAGGTAACTTTGCCTCTCTGAGCCTCAGTTCCCTCATCTGTAAAATGGGAATAAAAGCTTTCCTGCAGAGTTGCCGTGTGGGCCAAATGCAGCAGCCACTGTAAAGTGTCTAGTGGCTCCAGACGGGTCTATGGCTGGAACATAGAAGAGGCTCAATTTGGCCAGGCGCGGTGGCTCTTGCCCATAATCACAGTACTTTGGGAGGCTGAGGTGGGTGGATCACTTGAGGCCAGGAGTTCAAGACCAGCCTGGGCAACATGGCAAAACACCATCTCTACTAAAAATACAAACATTAACCGGGCATGGTGGCAGGCACCTGTAATCCCAGCTACTCGGATCACAGGCAGGAGAATTGCTTAAACCTGGGAGGCGAAGGTTGCAGTGAGCTGAGATCATGCCACTATACTCCAGCCTGGGTGACAGAGCAAGACTTTGTCTCAAAAAAAGAAAAGAAAAAAAACAAGAGACCAAATAAATAGCAATTTATAAACAATGACATCCACTGACGCAGCCAGTCTTGCTGAGAAACTCATCCATTTTGACCTAAGCATGACTTCACATTTAACCCATTTAACCCTGGGAAGCTGCCAAGCATGGTTGTAGGAGGAAGCCAGTGCCTTATTCACGTTTTGCTCTCTTAGGAAATGGGAGTTGGTACCATCTTTCTTCTACTACTCTTCTGGTCAAGCCCTCGGGGCTCCCTGGCACAACCACAGGCAGCTAATATTCACCAAGTGCTTGCTGCTCGCCAGGCACGGCCAGATGATTCACACACAGGCACTCACCTAACCCATGAAAAGGGGATACTGTTGTTATTATTATTATTATTTTAAGACAGTGTCTTGCTCTGTCGCCCAGGCTGGAGTACAACGGCACAATCTCGGCTCACTGCAACCTCCACCTCCTGGGTTCAAGAGATTCTCCTGCCTCAGCCTCCCAAGTAGCTGGGATTACAGGCAAATGCCATCATGCCTGGCTAATTTTTGTATTTTTAGTAGAGATGGGGTTTCACTATGTTGGCCAGGCTGGTCTTGAATTCTCCACCTCAGGTGATCCACCCACCGTGGCCTCCCAAAGTGTTCGGATTACAGGCATGAGCCACCATGCCCGGCCAGGGATACTATTATAATGAATCCCTTTTTAGAAGTGAGGAAACCGAAGCAGAGAAAAGTCAAATAACTTGCCCAAGGTGACGCAGAGCTGGGATTTGATCCCAAGCAGTTTGGGTTCACACTCTGAAAAACTGTCGTAGGAAAACCTTGAATTTCCTTCTTAAAGTTGTAGAGAGGAAACTATGCTAGAGGGTGAAATAGACACACAAACTCAATGTCCGCAATGCCCTGCTCTTTCCTGTGCTCAGGAGACCCAGTTAAAACTTCAGATTGGCCGGGTGCGGTGGCTTACGTCTGTAATCCCAGCACTTTGGGAGGCCGAGGCGGGCGGATCACGAGGTCAAGAGATCGAGACCATCCTGGTCAACATGGTGAAACCCCATCTCTACTAAAAATACAAAAATTAGCTGGGCATGGTGGCACGCGCCCGTAATCCCAGCTACTCAGGAGGCTGAGGCAGGAGAATTGCCTGAACCCAGGAGGTGGAGGTTGCGGTGAGCCGAGATTGTGCCATTGCACTCCAGCCTGGGTAACAAGAGCGAAACTCCGTCTCAAAAAAAAAAAAAAAAAAAAAAAAACCTGCAGATTGTCACTGATGCACTTCTGTCCAGTATACATTTATTGAGCACCTTCTGTATACTCAGATTAAAATAAACCAAACCAAGACCCATGGGGGAAAATGCCCACAGGAAACATTAATAGCCATTAGTCTAGCCTCCTTGAAATTCAAAATTTATGATAATTTGCACGCCAGCCAGGTGGTCTGCTAGGAAAATTAATGACGTGCATTTATGAAGATGTTTATTGTGAGTAAAATATAATGAGCAGCAGCTCCTTTTTTTTTGAGACAGAATCCCACCCCTTTCGCCCAGGCTGGAGTGTAGAGGGTTGATCTCAGCTCACTGCAAACTTCGCCTCCCAGGTTCAAAGATTCTCCTGCCTCAGCCTCCTGAGTAGCTGGGATTATAGGTATGCGCGCCACCATGCCTGGCTAATTTTTTGTATCTTTAGTAGAGGTGGGGTTTCACCATGTTGGCCAGGCTGGTCTCGAGTATCTGACCTCAGGTGATCCACCCACCTTGGCCTCCCAAAGTGCTGGGATTGCAGGTGTGAGCCACCACACCCAGCCAGCAGCTCCTTATAGCGCATCTAGTATCTGGGCTTTGCAGATGTGTTACATGTATTATTTCTAATTTCCTGGGCTCAAGCAGTCCTCCTGCCTCAGCCTCCCTAAGTGCTGGGATTACAGTCATGAGCCACCAAGCCCGGTATTTCTGATTCTTGACAATCAGCATTGCACTGCCCCTGTTAATAGTAACTAAGGCGTAATGAGTGACTCCCATATGGCATGCCCTACACAAAATAGCCTCATTGAATGCTCATGATGACCCACATCATCCTCATTTGTGGAAGCAGCTTAAGGATATGATTCAGAAGGTGAAACATTGTATGCTGGACTGCAAAAAACCAGGGAGAATAGTATTTGAGTCATTCCCGGTTTTCACTCATTGATGACCTCATGCCCCTACACGACTGCACATCATTACAGCACCGTTTATTGAGCACTTAATGTGTACCACATAACGGTGTTCCCTGCCAGATTCCACTTTGTCCTCACCGCAGAACCTAGGATGGAGACATTAACTTCTTTTTTTGACGGAGTTTTGCTCTTGTTACCCAGGCTGGAGTGCAATGGCGCAATCTCGGCTCACTGCAACCTCCGCCTCCTGGGTTCAGGCAATTCTCCTGCCTCAGCCTCCTGAGTAGCTGGGATTACAGGCACGCGCCACCATGCCCAGCTAATTTTTTGTATTTTTAGTAGAGACGGGGTTTCACCATGTTGACCAGGATGGTCTCGATCTCTTGACCTTGTGATCCACCCGCCTCGGCCTCCCAAAGTGCTGGGATTACAGGCTTGAGCCACCGTGCCCCGCCCATTAACTTCTTACAGAACAGCCAGAGCAGTAACAGATGGACCTAATGTCACAGAGTACATCACAACTATGAGAGGGTCACCACCCCAGGTGGCATGAGCTCTAGACCAGTGGTCCCTATTTTCCTTCACTTAATTGGTCTGGAGAAAGAGTGGCTGGACCTCCCTACTGCTTATTTTAAATTGAGCTATGGCCAGGCACCATGGCCCATGCCTATAATCTTAGCACTTCGGGAGGCCAAGGCAGGTGGATCACCTGAGGTTGGAAGTTTGAGACCAGCCTGGCCAACATAGTAAATCCCTGTCTCTATTAAAAATACAAAAATTAGCTGACTGTGAGTGCACACCTGTAGTCCCAGCTACTCGGGAGACTGAGGCAGGAGAATCACTTGAATCTAGGAGGTGGAGTTTGCAGTGAGCCGAGATCGTGCCACTACACTCCAGCTTGGGTGACAGAGAGAGAGAGTGTATCTCAAAAAATAAAATAAATAAATAAATAAATTGAGCTATAATTTGCATACAACAAAAGGTATAAATCTTAAGCACAGGAGGCTGAGGCAGGAGAATTGCCTGAACCCAGGAGGCGGAGGTTGCGGTGAGCCGAGATCGTGCCATTGCACTCCAGCCTGGGTAACAAGAGCGAAACCCCGTCTCAAAAAAAAAAAAAAAAAAAAAAATCTTTAGCAGACAGTTTGACTAACTTTCACCTATTAAAGCCTTACAGTTGCCTTGGCCTCCCTTCCAGGTTATATCCCCAGTCCTCCAGGGGCAGCCACAGGTCTGATTTCCAACACCCTAACCCCGTTTTGCCTGTTTTGGAACTTCTTACAGGTGGAACCAGGCAAACCAGGCAAAACCAGACATTGCCCTATGTCTCTGGCTCCCTCTGCCCCGCACAATGCTGTGGCGGTTCACCGGCTTCTTTTGACCTTCGAGCACACTCCCTTGCATGCCGGTAGCTCTGGTAGTTTCCTGCAAGCTCCCTGAGCAGCCCCACTGTGGCATCACTGCCTTGCAGACAGAGAACCAGGTAGGACAGCACCAAGCAGAGGGTGGAGGCTCCTCAGTGACATTTTTTTTTTTTTTTGAGACAGTCTCGCTCTGTTGCCAGGTTGGAATACAGTGGTGCGATCTCAGCTCACTACAACCTCCTCCTCCCAGGTTCAAGCAATTCTCTGCCTCAGCCTCCCGAGCAGCTGAGATTACAGACACCCACCACCATGCCTGGCTAATTTTTTTGTATTTTTAGTAGAGACGGGGTTTTACCAGGTTGGTCTTGAACTCCCAACCTTGTGATCCACCTACCTTGGCCTCCTAAAGTGCTGGGATTACAAGCATGAGCCACTGCACCTGGCCAACTTTTTTTTTTTTTTTTGAGACGGTCTCCCTCTGTCACCTAGGCTGTAATGCAGTCACACAATTACAGTTCCCTTGCAGACTCAACTCCCTAGGCTTAAGCAATTGATCCTCCCACCTCAGCCTCCTGACCAGCTGGAACTACAGGTGTGCCCCACCATGCCCAGCTAATTTATTTTTTGTAGACACAGGGTTTCTCCATGTTGCCCAGGCTGGTCTCGAACTGCTGGGCTCAAGAGATTCGCCTGCCTTGGTCTCCCAAAGTGCTAGAATTATAAGCTTGAGCCACTGCAATCAGCCTGATTTTTATATCAGAGCTCTTTCTGCAGTTGGCTTACTGAATGTCCCCAAGGTGGGTCCCCCACTCACTGACCTGACCCTCATGCCCTGGAACATCTCGGTGCTGGTATGGAAGGGCAGCACCGTGGTGGCACTGACGCCCGGACAGTCCAGCAGCCCCAGGGTCAGGCTCTCCATGAAGGCAAAGGCTGATGCTTTGGATGTGCAGTAGTCGATGGCACCGGGGATGGCAGACAGAGCCAGCACAGAGTTGAGGCACACGATGTGGCCATTCTGCAGCTCCAGCATTCGCGGCAGGAAGGCCTTGGTGGTCTGAGGGCGGATGGGGTGTCAGTGTTGAGCAGCCACGGCTCTGACAACCCCTCCACCCTTCTCTCGGGGAGAACAGCCCGCCTGTCCCGGACATTCATGATGCTCTAGTGTCTGAGCCTTCCTGCGAGGGAGAGGGCCAAGGGCTCCTTGCCCCAGGACACTGAGCACATGTCACAAAGCCTGATGTGTCCTGGGGCTGGTCATTCCTCCTGTCCGGCCACCTCGTTTGTGGACATTCCTGCTAGTCTGAGCCCAAGCCCTGGCAAGCATCCTCTCCCCTCCACCCTGCCTGGGGTCCCTGTATGCCCGGGGCTGGCTCTGGCCCGGGACAGCCTTACCCAGAACTGGCCCAGGGTGTTGATGTGCTGGGACTTGAGGAGGGCATCGTCGTCACTGTCCATCAGGCTCTTCCCATGGACCACGGCAGCATTGTTCACCAGGATGGTGATATCACCCACCTGCAGGTGAGAGGGGGCCATGGGGCCACGAGCGCAGCCAGCCCCAGACCAACAATACACGTTTTTTGTTGTCTGTTTTTGAGATGGAGTCTCACTCTGTCATCCAGGCTGGAGTGCAGTGGCGCGATCTCGGCTCACTGCCACCTCTGCCTCCTGGGTTCAAGTGATTCTTGTGTCTCTGCCTCCCGAGTAGCTGGGATTACAGGCTCCTGCCACCATGCCCAACTAATTTTTATATTTTTAGTAGAGATAGGGTTTCATCATGTTGGCCAGGCTGGTCTTGGTCTTCTGACCTCAATTGATCCACCCACCTCAGTCTCCCAAAATGCTGGGATTACAGGTGTGAGCCACCGCACCCGGCCAAATATACTTTTTAAAAGGGATACAAGCTACACCTAAGTGAACGAGTAATTTCTGAGTTAATTTATGGTCCATCAACTGATGTGTTATTTACAAGCTTTTCTTTATTCCTTCCTGCAGGCTACTTTCCGCCTGCCCAGTTCCGCCAGCATACATAGAGCCCCAGCAGCCACCTGGCCCCACCAGCAGCAGCCACAGGGCCTGGGGAAGAGAACTGCCTCTCTGAGCACCAGTCCTGATTTGTGAATGAGGCTAATGCCCCACCAGGACTGTTCTGAGGAGCAGAAATAATTTATGGCACACATTGTACCTGGCACACAGCATATTTATAATAAAGGAGGTTACTGCGACATAAAAACAGTGAACATTACCACGTGCCAGACACTCAGGGTGGGTTTCTCTCTCTTGGAGTTCACTGATATATTTAGTCCAAACAGATGACTGGAGTCAGGAGAAGGATTTTCCCAGAGGCCAATGGGACATGTGCCCCGCCACGGTCCTGGAGTGAAACCCACATGGTCTACATTTCCAGGGAAACAACAGAGGATGGCTCTGTTACATAATCAACCCTAATCCCTGCCTACGTCACTGGGGCCAGCTTCATGGGAGAGTCCCCAAAGATGCCCCAGACAAAGCCCCTCTGCCATAAGCAGAGCTCCCTTCCAGGCCACATGAGAATGTTCTCTCTGGCGGGAATCCGCCTGTGGTCAGCTGTGCTAGGAACAGAGCCTCCGGGGCTACGGACCTTCTCCCGGACAGCCTTGGCGGTCTGGTACACCTCCTCCCGGTTGCCCACGTCGCAGATGAAGTAGTGGCACTCAGTGCCCATCTGCCGAATCTCCTCTGTTGTCTCCTTCAGGCATTTCTCAGTCCGCCCCCAGAGAACAATCTGGAAGAAGAGAAAAACAGCACAGAGCAAATGGTCATGGAACAAGCCACAGTGATGCAATGATTGCCATCAGGAATCAGCATTTCGAGTGATTTGTCTTGAAATTACTGGCCTCCCAGATTCCACCCAAAGATAAAGAATACAACACAGATTAACAATATAACATTTTTTTTTTTTTAAAGCAGGATCTTGTTCTGTTGCCCCGGCTAGAGCACAGTGGTGCAATCATACCTCACTGTGGCCTCAAACTCCTGGGCTCAAGAGATCCTCCCATCTTAGCCTCCTGAGTGGCTGCGACCACAGGTGTGTGCTACCATACCTGGCTAATTAAAAAAAATTTTTTTTTGTAGAGTAGGGGTATTCTTATGTTGCCCAGGCTGGTCTTGAAGTTTTGGGTTCAAGCAATCCTCCCACCTTGGCCTCTCAAGTGGTAAGATTACAGGTGTGAGCCACTGCCCCCGGCCAACAATATGACTTTTTAAAGGGACAATCTATTCTAAAATGAACCAGTAGTTTCTTTCCTCTCTCTCTCTCTTTTTTTTTTTTTTTTTTTTTGAGACGGAGTCTTGCTGGAGTGCAGTGTCGCCATCTTGGTTCAATGCAACCTCCACTTCCTGGGTTCAAGTGATTCTCCTGCCTCAGCCTCCTGAGTAGCTAGGATTACAGGCGACTGCCACCACGCCGGCTAATTTTTTTTTTTTTTTTGTAGTTTTTAGTAGAGACAGAGTTTCGCCATCTTGGTCAAACTGGTCTTGAACTCCTGACCTCGTGATCCACTCGCCTCGGCTGTGAACCAGTCGTTTCTCAGCCCACTTATGATCAATCAATTGATGTGTATTTACAAGTTTTTCTCATATATTCCTTTCCGCAGGCTGCCTCCTGCCAGCCCAGTTCGCTTCCTGCAAATGTGGAGGCGATAGCAGAGCTCTTTCCGCACCGTGTTCCAGAATGCCCTGTTAGGAATCAGCTGGCTTCACCAGTTAGGTCTACAGCCAGGATGATTAACATCAGCCGGCAGCATAGGACTGGACTATTCCAGCCTCAAGGCTCACAGGAGCTAAGCCAAGCCTCCCATCTAGCTGCAGTCACGCCCTTAAGTTCTGGAAGGGTCTGGACAGGGCTGCCACTGAGAAGGAAGCATTGCCTCACCCGGCAGGTCATAAACAGGGACTCATTACGCCAGGAGGTGACCTTGGCAGGACCACTGAGGGTTTGGGCAAATTTATGAATGGCTGGCCCATAAAAGGTTCAGAAGAGAAGCCTGGCGATTTCTTAAGCTTCACCTCATGGAGGACAAGGCACCTCCCCATGATGTGAGGCCTCTGTTGGTAAAAAGGCCTGGAGCTGGATGACAGGGGGACCAAGAGCCCTAGGGAAGAACCATCTTCACCAGCACAGAGGGAGAAAGGCAGAGGGTTGAACACTGCCCAGGGGACAGAGCAGTGACAAGAAGAGCCAAAAGGCAGTCGTGGGGATTCGTCTGGTGGGTTTCTGTTTTTGTTTCTTTTTTCTCTCTCTCTCTCTCTCTTTTTTTTTTTTTGAGACAGAGTTTCACTCTTGTTGCCCAGGCTGGAGTGCAATGGTGCGATCTCGGCTCACCGCAACCTCCACTTTCCAGGTTCAAGTGATTCTTCCTGCCTCAGCCTCCCGAGTAGCTGAGATCACAGGCACGCACCACCATGCCCAGCCGATTGTTTTTTTTTTCTTTTGAGATGGCGTCTCATTCTATCACCAGGCTGGAGTGCAATAGTGTGATCTCGGCTCACTGCAACCTTTGACTCCCTGGTTCAAGCAATTCACCTGCCTCAGCCTCCCAAGTAGCTGGGATTACAGGCACCTGCCACCACGCCCAGCTAATTTTTGTATTTTTGGTAGAGAAAGGGTTTCACCATGTTGGCCAGGATGGTCTCGATATCCTGACTTCCTGATACCCCCACCTCGACCTCCCAAAGTGCTGGGATTACAGTCGTGAGCCACCGCACCCAGCCTGATTTTGTATTTTTAGTAGAGACGGGGTTTCTCCATTTTGATCAGGCTGGTCTCAAACTCCCAACTTCAGGTGATCCACCGACCTTGGCCTCCCAAAGTGCTGGGATTACAGGTGTGAGCCACTACGCCTGGCCCTCTTTTCTCTTTTTAAGATTATCAATGAAATTCTCCCTTAAAAAAAAAAAATCCAACATGGAAGCCTCAACATGTGAAACCAAGAGAAGGAATAAATGATACGCCTGGCTCCGTGATATTTTCTTACTGTAAAGGCTGCTACTGAGAACAAAACGGCTGCTTTGGAAAGGCAAACGTTTTAAACTGGGGTTACAGATGGCGGCTCCAATCACATCAGACCCACGTCCAGCTGATTTCTGTATTTTGCTTTGTTACACAGTACAGAGAAAAGTCACATTGATAAGAAGTTGCTAATGGTAACAGTTTATCAGCTGCTCTCCTTGAAATCTCAAAACAGTCACTTAAGCAGAGAGGGCACAAAACAGGCCAACTGGGGGACACTCAGATATTCCGGTGGCCTCCAATGGAATTGATTTTTTAAATTAGAGTTTTTAAAACTTTTAAAATATTTTACAAAAAAATAAGTGTTCTCTCTTTTTTTTTTTTGAGACAGAGTCTCACTCTGTTGCCAGGCACCAAGCTGGAGTACAGTGTCACAATCTCGGCTCACCGCAATCTCTGCCTCCAAGGTTCAGGCAATTCTCCTGCCTCAGCCTCCCGAGTAGCTGGGACTAAAGGCACACGCCACCATGCCCAGCTAATTTTTGTATTTTTAGTAGAGACGGGGTTTCACCATATTGGCCAGGATGATCTTGATCTCTTGACCTCGTGATCCGCCTGCCTCGGCCTCCCAAAGTGCTGGGATTACAGGCTTGAGCCACCGCGCCCGGCCAATAAGTGTTCTCTTAAACCTAGTTTGAAAACCCCAACTTAAGACTAGCCACTGTATTTTAATTAAGGTTTTGAAATATAGGAAGGGCTTAACAAGTGGGTCCCCTCAATTCCTCTCCATGACCATACACGTCCATCAAAGGCAGATGGACTGCAGTCAAACAGGCTCCAAGGGATACTTTCTTGTCTGTTGAACTAAACAGAATATGCTCCTCCAGGAGAAGCGGGGAGGTTCAGTTCATAGAAAAGAAAAAAGACAAACATTTGCTCCAGGAAGGCAATTTTTGGTGTGGGCTCCTCCACTCCACTGGACACCCCCTTTGCCTTGCAGCCATTGTCATCCAGGTTGCCTTTCTTCCTCCGTTATCACCCCATCTATACAGCCACCCATCCATCTATCTGGCCATCTGTCCATTTTCCCACTCACTGGTCCATCCATCCACCTACCATCTGCCCACCCCACTCCATCCATCCATCCATCCATCCATCCATCCATCCACCCACCCACCCATCCATCCATCCATCCACCCACCCACCCATCCATCCATCCATCCATCCATCCACTCACCTACTTCTCCATCCATCCATTCCTCATCTACCCTACTCCATCCATCCGTGCATCCATCTGGTTTCTGAGTATGTCAGCCTGAGGGGGAGGCAATCCTTGGTTTCCATCCATCCACTTCATGCAAGCACTCATCCATCCATCCATCCATCCATCCACTCACCTACTTCTCCATCCATCCATTCCTCATCTACCCTACTCCATCCATCCGTGCATCCATCTGGTTTCTGAGTATGTCAGCCTGAGGGGGAGGCAATCCTTGGTTTCCATCCATCCACTTCATGCAAGCACTCATCCATCCATCCATCCTTCCCTACTCCATCCATACATGCATCCATCCACTCATCCACCCCACTCCATCTATCCATCCCTCATCTACCCGACTCACTCCAGCCATGTGTCCATCCATTCACTCACTTACCCCACTCCATCCATCTATCCACTCACCTACTTCTCTACCCATGCATCCATTTATCCATCCATCCATCCATTTATCCATCCCTCACCTACCCACTATACCCACTCACCTACCCACCTCCATCCACCCATCCATTCACTGCCCCATTCCATTAATCTATCCACTCACCTATCTCACTCCATCCATCCATCCAACCATCCACCATCCACCAATCCATGCATTCATCTGCTCACCAACCCTACTCCATCTTTCCAACCATCCGCTCATCTACCCAACTCCATCCATCCATCCATCCATCCATCCACCCACCCATCTCCATCCATCCATCTACCCACTCACCCACCCATCTCCATCCATCCATCTACCCACTCACCCACCCAACTCCATCCATCCAACTATCCATTCATTCACCTACATGCCCACCCACCAGCCCCACTGCACCCATCCATCCACCTGGTTTCTGACTATGTGAGCCTGAGGGGGAGGTAATACTTGGTTTCCATTCTTCGGTTCTGGTCCCGGCCTAACCCCATCCCACCTCTGGCTCATATGTGTGACAGGACCATGGGACTTGTGTAGGCTCCTGGGGTCTGGCGAGGCAGGGAGAGGTGCCTCTGGGGGCCCTAGGAATTGCTGGGCAGGTTGACAGAGAGGAAAGCTTAAAGCTGGGGGCTTGCAGGGAGACATAGGGTTCAGATGTCCGTGGGGACAAGTGGTTACCCCAGTGCTGTCTACTTGGTGGGAAGACGGCCCTGGTGAGGAAGTGGAGCAGGGCTGAGGGAATGAAGAAATGAAGGCTTCCAGTGCCCAGGAAGCCCCCCAGGCAGGGCCTTAAGGCTTTATTTCCTTTCAAGGGTCTGTTGAGGGTGCCCCAGGTGGACTGGGGGACTGGCCTTGCCTCTCCCCAGCACCATAATAGGCTTACCTTTCTGCCTCCTCACCACCCACTCCTCTGGGCCCCAATTCTAACCTGTTTACCTCCTAGTGCCCAGCACAGCACATGCTGTTTGTTGAATGAATGAATGACAGTTCAGGTACACAGGTGGATGGGGAGGGAGGTGGTTAAACTGTCTCTAAGAGGAGAGACCACCCATCCCATTGGCTAAGCCATTTAGGGCCTCA